ACTAACTAGATATATTTAAAAAATAATTGATATATAACTAATAACAAAGCTATTATAATAAATAAATTATTAATTTGTTCAAGAATAAAAACAATTTTTCTTTTTTTTTCTATTTCTTCTTGCAAAGATTTACGTATAATATCATATTCAATTGTATTTGAAAAATAATGTCTTTTAGATTACATTTTTTTTAATTTATTATGATATTTAATTAGTAATTCTTTAAATTATTAATTTAGTTAAAATAATATTCAAAAATTAGTCCAATAAATTATCAAATATAATGATTATTTCTTTTAATTTATTTAATCTGGTTAAAATCATATCTCTATAAATATTTTTCAATATCCATTTTAATTTATATTAAAAAAATCTATCTGGTAAAAAAACTAGATAGACAATATAAAATAAAAAATTATAGAAGATCAGCAAATAATTTTTCAAAATAATTCTTCCCATACTCCTCAACAGAACAATCATTTTCAATTTTAATATGAGAAGAATAAATTTTATCAATTAATTTTTCATAAAAATCAGATAAATTAATTAAATATTCTTTAGTATAAGTTTCTGCTTCTCGATCTCTGTTTTGTTGTCTTTTAATCATATTTTCATCTGTAGACTTTAAATAAAGCACCTTGTTAATATTTTCTATTTTAATTTCTTTCTTTTTTTTCTAAAAAATCAATAATTTCTTTATCTTCAGTATTCATTAGTGTGAAAACTTCAGTATCAATATGTGTTCGATCGAGTATTACAAAATCATATGAATCAATCATATTAATTTCTGCAGCTTGTTTTTTGTAAAAATTAAGAATTGCATATTGAAAAATAAAATATTATTTTTTTTGTTTTTACAAAAGAGTTTTAATTTCTCATTAAGTAATAGAGATGCTTCAACTGGTCGATAAACTTTATATTCTCTTTTTTTTAAATAAATCCTAAATTTTTCTCTGAATATTGATTTCTCTATACCAATAGCACCTGTTAATATAATAATTTTTGATTGCTTTGTCTTAATTTTTTTTCTTCTAATTACTTCATCAGGATATTTTCTTTTTAATCGTCTTAATGTTTTTTGTCTGATTTTGTTTGTATATTTACTTTTCACAACCTTTAAAATATTATTATACTCATTTTCAATTTCAATCTGAATAGCTTCTGAAGAATATTCTTGATTTAAAGCATATTTTTTGTTATCATTGATGATATCAATTAACTTCTTTAATATAATTTCAAGTTTAGTAGTATACTTTTTTTATTTTAAATTCTATTTTTAATTGAAAATTTACAGAATAAAAATTCTATTTAGTAATAATACTGAATAGATTTAAAAT